ACAGCTACTGAATTACAATTGGTAGTTTCATATTCTCAAAGTGTATTTTACAAAATGAATATGATTATTATTTTTCTAGAATGTTGAAAGTTTACTCTGCTTCTAATATGAGGTGTAATTAATTTACAGTTCATGCAAGTCAAAGAATCTCAGTGCAAATCAAAATATCTATAATTATTGTTACTAAAATTTTGAAAGGGAATAAGCTTCATTCATTTAGAACTCCTGCAATCATTTGTTTGAAAAACGAGAGATAAATAATTAGGAGTCTCAAGAAAAATAAAAGAAAATAAGTTTTATAACTAATAAAAATAAAAGATAACGAGAGAAATGTGAAATTGAATTGAATTGTATTATTAACTTATATATTATAAATATGTTTGACTGTTTGTAGAAAAAAAATATTGTTACAATAAAATAAAAATAGTTTATATTTCACTAAATTTCTATTATATTTAATTTAGGAATGAAATCCAAACACTTAAAATGGGAGTCAAATTTTTTTTCTTCATTTATAATTATTTAAATATTTAATTTTAAATAATAATGTAATTTCATAATATTGTTCATTAAAAAAATTTCATGATTTTTCTCAATTAAATATATTTTTTAAAAATAATTTTATACTAAAATATAATCTATATTCACAAAATAATAGATAAACTTTTTATGGGGACTATGAGGTCATCTCTTTTACATGTTCATCTCTGTTAGAGTCTGTTAAGAAAAGAAAGAATCAATTATTTATTAAAGATGTGATCAGTAAGATAGATGAGTATGTGTGGTAGATGTGCAAGTATGTGCAAAGGATGTGAGTGAAAAATAAAGATAAATGAGTTATTTTTTATTTTTAGTCATTTCAACATGCTTGTTTCAATGTGATCATTCATTCTTTGACTTTCACTTGTCTTTTTTTCTTAAAAAAAATACTAGAATTTTAAAAATGCTAAATTTTTCATTCCAAAATGTATTTTATCTTGTTTGACTCATCTTCTCCTTTAAAAAGAGAAAATAAAATATAAAACAAATTGTTCTATAGTCCAAACATATTCAATTATTCTTCTTATATATATATATATTTTTTTTAGCTTTTGAGCAAATGATGATGAATTTAAAGTGTTCTATTAAGTTATACTCCAAACTTACATATGCATAAAGTTAGTATAGAAATGTTTATCACTTTCATCGTATGATTGTAATCAGGTTTTTATAAATTATTCGAAGACTTACAGGTAACTTCTTATGGCCAATCCTACATGTAGACAGTCTTATATAAGTTACCTAATGAGTCAACAAAATCTTAACATATATGACAGTGGGTACAAACACCCTTGGTTCCAGAAATATAACAAAAATAATCCTTTGAAAGGAAAAATTCATGCTTGCTATTCAGTGATTAAATTTTATTTTCATCAGAACTTGCATCTTGAAAACTTGATTATTATGATATCAATTATTATGAGAATTGTTGTTAGATTTTACTCCTCTACCGTGAAATCAATTATTTTCAGAATTGTTGTGAGATTTTACTTTTCTACAGTGAAGAGATTGATTTCACTTTAAAAAATAATATGTAATAATGATTATTGATTAAAAAATTAATTATAAATATTATAATAAATTTTAAATTTTATTATATATATTTGATTTTATTATAATCATCGATAATTAATAATTATATGTGTATTTTATCCTCTGAAGTGCACTACTTTATTTAAAAGGAGCTAAATCATGGTTGCGACATCTAGTTCTTGTGATCCTTGTTCAGTCTTGAATCAAAGTTGAATCAGGTTCATCCTTCCAACACAATAGTATGACTAGTTTTATTGGGATATCTTATGCTGTAACTAGAAAAAGTGTTGAGAAATCAATTTTGATAATCTCTATCATGATTTTATTTTATATATATATATATATCTAGGATGCAAATCTGATTTTGAAGATTGTTTAGGCTACAATGTTGTTTTCCACCCAGGCATGGCAATCTAACCCGTCCCCGTGGGTACCCGCCCGAACCCGCCCCGATTTGGACGGGGAAAACTCGTGTTTATCGG